AACAACAACAACAACAGCTGCCCAGCCACTCAAAACCATGACCCAGCCAAGTTGACACACAACTTTAACTACCACATTGATCCTACATACAAAAGAACAAAACACAGAACAGTCCAGCACCGTCCTCATGATAGTTTCCATGCTTGAGCCCACTGTTGTAGCCACTGTGTCAATCCACCTTATTGTGAGTCTTCCCTTTTTTCACCAACCTTCTACCTTTCCAAGCATGATAACTTCTCCAGGAATCAGTCCCCTCTGACAACATAACCAAAGTACAAGAGATGAAGTCTGGCCATTCTTTCTTTTAAGAAACATTCTGGCTGTAGTTCCTCCAAGACATATTTGTTTGTTCTTTTAGCAGTCCATGGTACATTCAATATTCATCACCCACATGATAACTTGAATGAAACAATTATTCAATCATCTTCTTTATTCGTTATCCAACTCTTATATATATATGAGGCTATTGAAAATATGATGCTTAGGTGAGGCACACCTTAATCTTCAAAGTGAAATATTTTCTCTTTAACACTTTAAAGAGATCTTTTAAAGATTTACTCAACAAAATACATCCTTTATTTAATTTTTATTTTTTAGAATTTAAATATATTTCACTGACTGCAATTCCCCACAATGTAACAGCTCTCTTACCACTTCCTCCCCATAATTACCTCTTCCTGTGTCCTTCCCTCCCATGCACACCCACCTCCCGAGCTATCTCCCTGTACAAACACTGCCCTTCTTTTCTCCCATGATTGATCACTTTGAGAATTCTGTCTACCTGATGTACATATTCACCCCATATGTTTTTCTATTATTTGGCTGGAAGACCTAGGAATGAGTTCAGTTCCAGACCTGAAGTGGAGCTAGGGGTGATAGTCTCAGAGGTCTCACCAGGCTCTGTCAGACTAGCAAACCTGGTCTTTCTTTTATTATTTTGAGTTTTGTTCCATATTGTTTTCCCACTCTATCCATGATCTCCTGCACCAATCCCCCTCCAAGTGGTTGACATTGGTAGCTGGGCACCATCTAGTTATTCTGGATGTCTCAAGGTTGTATACCATGAAAATGTCTCATGGTCATATACCATGAATGTGGGTGGCATATATCTGTTCTTGTCCTGGCTCTCACTTTGTTAGAATATATACCTAGTAATGGGATTGCTGGATCAAATGGTACACACAATTCCAACTTTTTAAGAACTAAGGGTCTCATGATCTACCAGTCTCTTGGACTAATTGTTTCCATGCATCTTTGGTTTTCTTCATTTTTCTTTACTTGAATGATTTCTCTTTGCATCTAGATGGCCACTTGCAAGCTTTTAAGACCCAATCACT